ATGGCACAATCAGACAGTTGAGTCAAGCACTGAAAGCATAGTATGGAAATCACTCATTTGATACTGTCAGGGAAGTTTCTTTGAACTTGTCAGTACTGTAATTGTGTCAGTCATTGATGGGTTTGGGCTGCAGATTGCTAACAGGATACAGAGCTTCAGAGTTGTTTAGGATTTACCCAGAATCCTCAATTTCAATCTTACAATAGGGTTAAGAAATTAAATCTTTCACCTTTGATTTACTAAACACACCTACTGCGGGAACTGCATGTCCTTTCTTAAGAACCGTCTCCCACGTGAAGCCCATGACAAGTAGCATTGTAATTAGCAGTAATTTATTAATACATTGTTTGCTTCTCTGTTTACTTCTCTGTAAGAGAGAGGGAACATGAAGTCACCAGATTACACAGTTTGGGTTCCTGTGGTTATCACCTTTATCCTCCCTGCTTGCGTTGTGCGTCTGCTCTTCCTACCTTTCTACTCTTTGGGTTGTGCTTTTAAATTTCATACTGCCTTTGAGAACTGGGCACTACTGATTGTGTAACACAGGTAATAAGAAGGGATGAGTAATATGCAGCAGCAACTGAGGCTGTGGGTTTCCCAGCTGGTACTAATTCCTGAATTAACAAGCCTTCCCAAGTCTGTTTGCTCAGTGACTAAAGCGATGTTCTCAGTTAGGTAGGAGAATTGGTGGTGTCCATTCTGAGAAAGGGCTTTGTGGGAAAGAACTGTTTGTATTTGATCTTGTCAGCTATCATGGGTATGTAAGTCAGCAGAGAATGAAATAGCTTCCTTGCTTCTTAAATACTTTTCATCCATATGAGATAGTTAAATGTAAAATCTAGATGTCGCGGAGGTTTGTAATGGTCCCTTTAGGTCTTTGGGATGACAGCAGTAATTGTGTCAGAGGTTCATTATAAAGGCAGGAAATGTTGCTACTCTATGCTTTTATTTTATAATGAAATTGGTGTTATGATTTTGGGGATGAGCATTAGTGGACACCTCTGGCACTTCATCCGGCTGAGAAGTTTGAGTAAGGCAAGGTTCTTGGAGGTGCAGTCCCCCTCTTAGCATAGCTTGAGGAGTCAGAGGAGTGGGCACCTGCTGCAGCTCTGCCTCGAGGAGCAGGAGCTGCTACTGTTGTGCCCCAGCTGTAACAGCTCTGGTATGACTTAGCAGGAGCACAGGGTTCTTTCTGTGACTTGCAGTAGTCTGTTACATATTTTTAAGTGGTTTTGTTACAGAAAATCCTGTTCGGCACCACCTTTCCAGCATTACGGATTCAGCAGGCCTTCAGGCAAGCAGTGGCCCTAGGTTATGCTGCCACAGGCACTACAAGCTGGAGCGAAGTGCTGCTAATGGTTCCCCACGCTAACTTTAACAGTAGGTTTGGCTAACACAGGGCAGCCTGAGAACAAGCCCTTGTTAGCCCTCAGCAGCAGGACAAGGCCAGGCACCAGACGCAGGGGGAAGCTGGGGGCGCCCCGCCATTGACGTCAATGGCAGTGGGGCCCGCTGGCCCGCAGGTAGCCGTGGGAAAGGCTTCCCCGAGCGGGGCTGCCTGTGTCCTGGCCCCTGGCAGCCTGGGCAGGGTGCCCAGCGGTGCCTGGCTTGCGCCCGTGATGGTGGAGGGGGAATTAGTCTTGGAGGGCTGCGAGGGTGCTGGCTGCTGGAGGTTCCGCGTTGTGTCTGATTGTAAAAGCAGGCTGTTTTGCTGAACAGCAGCTCTGAGATCATGAGTCAAAGGCCTGATTTGAAGTTGCAGCCAGGCGTAGGGCTGCATTTGGAGGCTTTTTGTTCCTCCACTGAAATGTTTGGGTTTGTTTGGGCCAGAAGTGTGCCCAGGGCTTGGCGCTGAGTTTCGGGGATCAGTCACAATGGAGAGTGCAGCGGGAGGTGTTTAATTCACTTAGTTGAGACTACCTGAACCTCTGCTTTTAACTACTGTGAGGAGCAGCAGACACAAACATCCCTAGCTTGCTCCCCACGGTAAAGCAGGCTCCCAAACACCAAAGCAAGTTCCCAAACACCAAAGCGTGAAGGCATTAGCATCCCTTCCTAGGGCCGAACCTGCACAGCCGCCTCCCTGCACAGGGAGGGAGGCAAGGGATGTAAAAGAAAGAAATGGGCAGGTGAAGGGAGGGTGTCGGCTGGGCTCGGCGAGAGGCTGCGGCCGGCCTCCTCTCCACAGAGCCGCCCCGCGCTCGCTCACCCGCCTCTTCCCCCGCAGCTCCTGGACCTCTTCATGGTGTGGGACTGGTCCACCTACCTGGCTGACTACGGGCAGGCCACCTCCAAGTACCTGCGGGTCAACCCCAGCACGGCCCTCACGCTCCTGGAGAAGTAAGTGCAGGGGTCGGAGCTGCCGGCACGGGAATGGAGGCGGCTCCAGGGCCGGGGCTTGGAGCCGCCCGCCTGCGGAGCGGCGCGGCCGAAGCCCGGCGCAGCACGGCCGTGTCCCGGTGCGGGAGCGGGCGGAGGCGGCGGGCGTGGGTACCGCGGTCTCAGCCCGCGGCTGCCCGAATTGCCGCTCTAGGGAAGGGAAATGCGTGGGGTTTGCCGTGGTGAAGCGGTGCGAGCCTTTCGGCCGGCCTGGAGGGTGGACTGGGAGGGCAGGGTAAGGAGGGCGCGTTGCCGCCAGCCCGGTACCAACCTGCTGGTAAAAGCCGCATCAGAACACACTGCGGTTTAAAGACATCTTCTAACAGTGTTTTCTCTCCTCTCCTGCCTGTGATGAATATGTCTTCTGAAGAGTTCACAGAGGGTACGTATCGCCTATATTGTTACAAAATATTGTTGCTTTAACTTATTTAATTTCCCGAATTTCGTTTTTAAATCCATTACTCCGGGAAATCAGCGATAACGATGCCCGTTATTGACGGTGAGCAAAGTTCGCCCGTTCATTGCATCTAAATTTACCATGGAGGCAGATGATATTAACGGGTTTCATGGTTTGCTTCTTTCTTATGGCATTGGGTAGGGCCAGGGTCCTGCCGAATGGGTGTTTGCTTCATAGTTATGTGTTATTTGTGAAGTAATATTTGTTAAAACCAGTTCTGCATTGCAGAAGTTGAGTTTAAGAACACACAGATAACAGGTTTTGTGATCTTTCAGTTCTTATTAGCAGAAAGATAAAAAGAGGATCAATAGTAAAACTGTTTCAGTAGTCAGATTTTTCCTTTTGAAATTATGTTTCTAATGTGTTTGTGTAATTTCCTGTTTTATTTCTCTAGAATGAAAGACTCCAGCAAAAAGAACAACATTTTTGCTCAATTCAGAAAGAATGATCGTGACAAGCAGAAGCTAATAGAGACTGTAGTAAAGCAACTTAGGAGTTTAGTGAATGGTATGTCCCAGCACACATAGGCCTCTTAAATCAAAAATATCTCATCATGCCAAGAGGTGTTTCTTAGCCACTATTTCTACTAAGCAAAGTGATACCAGTTAGGACATTTGTTTGACTGAGTAAAGGAGAAATGCAGTAGATGGATTGTACATGGAGTCTTCAACAAACAATTCTTTGTACGTATTTTTAATTGTTCGAATACTATTTTGTATATTGTAAACAAATGGTAAAAAATGAGACTGTACGATAAAAACCAGCGCAATCGTATTGTACATGGAACAGCTGAACTGTAAATACGTTATTTAAATATCTGCAGATATGGTGTCCAAAATTTTGCTCCAAATAGGAATTATTTGCTGTTTTCTGGTTGAATCCTAATTTAATGTTTTTAAGCATTGAGATACTTGCGTTTCAGATGCTGCCTATTGTTTTCCTGCGTTAAATGTATATTAGCCTTAAAGTGACTGGACATAATTTTGTATATCAGATTTTGTAGTCTGGAGGTATGAAAAAGTCTTCTGATTTTTAGTACCTTTGAAAACTACCTGAGAACTAGACTTGATACCTATTTAGCGTTAGGACTTATAGGCTTTGTTCTCCAAAAGGGTTTAATCTTGAGGTCGTGAATGTAAATAACCATTTGAGTTCTTTATAATGTGACATTTTGTTTCGTTTGGGTTTTGTTCCTCAGGGTTACTAATTCTATTTTGTAAGATCCCGGGTTCTTTTTCCCAGGTTGCAGTAAGGAATAGGTTTGCCGCTGTTGGTTTCGTGCCGCATCTGTTTGTCAGTATGCGCTTTCTACCGCCAGCCCCATCCCAGCGATTAGCATTTTGTCCCACCACCGGTCTCTTTGCACTGTCCCCTCCTGGCTATTTTAGACACTAAGAGAATGTCTAACAAATACAAACCAAATGGAACGTGTAAAAATAATGTACATTTTTGCTGTATTTTTAAGTTATTGACGGTCTAAATACAGTAAGATAAACCTCGCCCGTGTTCCTGTTTCATTTCACACACCAGCACGCACCTCAGAGCCGGTTTCGCGGGACCTGTACGGGTCCTGACTCACGATTTACCCCCGGGGAAGGCGGTCGGGGGTCGGGGCGGCCCCGACGGCGAGGTGCGGGTCGGGGGCACTGCAGGATCCCCGACTGCCGCTGCAGTCGGGCAGCCGGGAAGAGGCGGACTGGGGCGCTCCTCGTCGGGGAGCCCGGACGGGACTCGCTACTTCGCCGGGCGGCGGGGAGGGCTGGCCCGAGGGGGCGCCGGGGCTCCCGCTCCCGGGGCAGCCGTCCGGCCGCGGCTGGGGGCACGAGGGGCTGGGAGAGGGGTGGAGGGGGCCGTCGGGCCCCCATCCCCGGGGGGGCTTGCCCCGCCGCGGCCCCGCGCCCCTCGGCCGCTGTGCCCGGCTCTCCCGCGCCAATCACCGCACTTGGCGCGCCGCTTAAATATGCAGCGGATACGTCATCTCCGAAGTTGGATCGGCGCGTAAGTGGCCCAATATCTATATAAATTAGCCCGAGGGCGAACCGGCAGCAGGAGGCGAGCGGGGCCGGGCGGGCAGCAGCCGGCAGGGCCCGCCGTGCAGCGCCCGCCGCCGGTAGCCGGTCTGACAGCCGCCCCCGCAGCGCCCGCCTCCCCGCCGCCGAGGAGGATGCTGGCGGGCTCTCCTGGCCCGAGGCGTCGGCGCTGGCGCTGCTGGCCCTGCTCTGCTGGTCACCCTGTGCCGCACCTGTGGGCGCTGCGCTGGAGCCTCAGCCGGGACCGGGCCAGCGCCTGCCCTGCCAAGGGCTCCATGGGGGGCCGTTTTTTGGGGAGACTCTGCACTGGCTGCTCCAGGTAAGGCGCCGGTGGACGAGGGCGGGGTGGGAAGGGACTGGTGGAATCCACAGGCTGACCCGCAGCTCGTCCCCAGGGCTCCCGCTTCCATAGCTCACGGCGGGAGAGATACGGAAACGTCTTCAAGACCCACCTCCTGGGCCGGCCGGTGGTGCGGGTGACAGGCGCTGAGAACATCCGCAAGATCCTTCTGGGCGAGCACACGCTGGTCAGCACGCAGTGGCCCCAGAGCACCCATATCATCCTGGGCTCCCACACCCTGCTCAGCTCCACCGGTGACCTGCACCGCCAACGCCGCAAGGTGAGTCTCTCGGCCACCGCAACAGGGCACACAGCCCAGGCGGCACCTCCGCCCAGGCTTGGGCCTCAGTAGCATGTGTGCTCCCCCTGCTTTAACTACCTGCTTGTGTTCCCCCCTTTTCCTCCTAGATCCTGGCCAGAGTCTTCAGCCGTGCTGCCCTGGAGAGCTACCTTCCACGGATCCAGAAGGTTGTGAGCTGGGAGCTGCGGGGCTGGTGCATGGAGCCGGGCTCCATCGCAGTTTATTCCTCCGCTAAAACCTTAACTTTCCGCATTGCAGCTCGGATTCTGCTGGGGCTCCGCCTGGAGGAAAAGCAGTTCAAGGATCTGGCCAAAACTTTTGAACAGCTGGTGGAGAACCTCTTCTCCCTGCCCCTCAACATACCCTTCAGTGGGTTGCGCAAGGTACTGCCGCATGTCCCGTTCCCTCTGCCTGGGGACAAGGGCCTGGGCCCTGGCAGCAGAGACCTCCTGTCCCCAGGCCTGCCCAGGGGCACTTCCAGTGGGCCAGGACATCTGCAGCACCCTATTCCAGGTCTGAGGGCTTGGTGTCTTACCTAATTCAACCATTTCCCTTTCTCTGCACTTCCCACCTGCTCCTGGTTGACTTCCAGCACCTTTGGGTCCTGGCTCCAGTTCATTGTACCGTGCAGGGCTTCTCTTCTCCCTCATCCCATATGTTGCCTCTGGTTGGTTCATCATGTCTGGGCCTGTCCCATCTCATCCTACCTGGACTCCTGTCAGCCCATGGCAGAGGGGTCTGTGGGCATGAGCACACAGCTCAGTTTAGCACCCCCTGTGCAACTTAGGCAGGCCAAGGACTTGGGACCTCTTATGATCCTTGGTCCCTTGTAGCCCAGCAGCACAGAGACAGCCCAGGGAGAGGAACGTGGCAGACAGCCTCCTCTGCCTCTTTCAACTTGCAGTTTCCTCCCTGCTGCTCTGCTCCTCTTTGCCTGCCTCTCTACACTCCTGTTCTAGGTATTGGTCCTGTGTACCACCCCTCCTCTCACATTACTCCCTCCTCTGACTTTAGGTTCTCCGTACTTACAACAGCTGAAGTCTCCTGCCCACTTTAGCCAGGTCTTCCCTCATCTCTTATTTCCACTGTGAGCTCTGCCCCATTGGATCCCCTTACCCAGCCAGTCCCAGTTCACCCCCAGCCTCCCTGCTGCTCTTCACCAGTTCAAAGCTCTGGTTTTCCCTGTCCAGTTTCCCTTTGCAGTTTGGCACAGTGTGGGCTTTCACCCCTCACATCCTACCCCTCTCTGCCCTCTCTCAGGTCTCCCACAGGCTGTCTGGCCCCAGACCAATATGTTCCACTTGCATTTAGGTCCCCTTGTCTTTCCCCTTGCTCCCTGCCCTGTTTACTTTGTCCAGTCCTTCCCACCTCAAATCTAAGCCTTTGTATGTTTTTCCCAACATCTGGTCGTGGCCATTTTTCATTCCAAATCTCATCCTTCTGGCTTTTGCAGGAAGCATCTTGATAGAGAGCCACACTCTGTGACTCCATCCCACTTTGCAAAGAGATTGCTGATCACTTGACTTGTTGAGATCTTACATGAATGTTACACAACTGAAAATGAGCTGGCTGTGATTAATGTGTCTTTTTCCACTATACCCTGGTTAAGCCACTCATTTGATCTTTTCTCAGATGTACCTTGCTGTCTGGACTCAGTTTTATTAAGTTACCTCTTCTTGTCCCTTTGGACAAGCTTCTTTTGGACCTGACACAACTGTGGGTTTGCTCAGCGCAGATGCCTCTGAACTTGGTACCACGTGTTTATTGCTGTCTTTTCCTCTCAGAGAATTTCTTGTGACTTACTGTATTTGATTCACAACAGCAAAGCAACAGAATGTGCAGCAGTTCCCCCCAGACTGCTGCCTCTTGCAAGGCTCTGGGGCTGGGCAACAGATTAAACTGTTCTTGCTGTTATAGATCCTGGTTTTAAGGATTGCTACGCATGGGCTCCCTCAGTCTCTCAGGAGAGGGGTTCAATTCCTAAGGTTCTCCTGAACTGTGTCTGCCTCTCACAGGGAATAAAAGCACGGGACATGCTACATGAGTTTATGGAGAAGGCTATACAGGAAAAACTGCAGAGAAACAACCCAGAAGATCACAGTGATGCTCTGGATTTCATAATGAACAGTGCCAAGGAGCACGGCAAGGAATTCACCATGCAGGAGCTAAAGGTAAGGATGAACCCAGTAGTCCTTACTGAGCCTAAACCACTAACTGAATGTGAAGAGTATTTTCCCAAAGATCTTGGGAAAAAATTGTCATTAGTACTGCATCATTCATAGTTCCAGGTCACTTGGTATCAGTGAATGACAGATGACACTACATTTATATAACAAGTTTTGAAGCAGTTTTGCATGGGTACAGCAGCTGAATACAGTTCAAAAGTATTTGAATGTAGTTTAAAGGTAGTTTCACAGCTTACTTAAGTATTTAAGGAAAACTGTCCAAAGATTAATATTTTATAAATATTTTGTAAAAAGGTAATCTCTAAATCTAAATATTTGAAAAACTTTGAGCAACTAGTAGATATAATTAGAATCAAAATATGTTTATAAAGTAATTTTATTATAATTATTTATTATATTATTTATTCTAATATATGGTTTTATTATAATGTAATTTTTAAAATAATTGAAATGTTCAAAATGTGATTGATTAAGATTAATTACTCTCTGTTAGTTTTCACATTAATATTACACAAGAATAATTTCATGATCTCTCATCATGTCCCTGGCTCTGACCACAAATGCAATAAGGGGATATTAAATGCAATATGGAGTTACATGGCGGTGATCTGGGGCCAGCTGATTGAAATCATAGTATATAATATATACTATAATATATGTTATATTAAAAGTATATATATATATATACACACAATAAGATATGCTGTCCTGTAGCATTATGGTTAGAAGATTTCTATTTTGTCTGTATTTAACAAAATTACTTGCAAACCAAACTGCCTATGCTTGCGATTATGGCAATATTCACTCTAATATAACAGTAGGAGAGCTTTCATTCCATTAAATGGTGTAATTGGATAAAAAGTCCAAAGCTGTCTCAGAGACGTGGATTTATCTGTCTTTGAGAGAGCCTCCAAACACTGGCACACACTAGTTACTAATTTGCTTTGTGTTCAAATTATTTGGAAGGACAGTCTTTCCAGAAGTTTTCCTAAATACGCTGCTGGCATGAACTTACCAGGACCCTTGAAATGTAAAGGTCATTAAAAAAATATTGCTTTGCCAAAAGTACTGTTTTAAAGTACTTAAAACCCTGAAAAGATTAAAAAGACCCCATCCTACATAATAGTGCTGTCACTGGCTGGATGGGTGGAACTGTAATGCTGCCTGTCCTGCCCTCCAGGACAGGGAGTTGGGCTGTAGCACAGGGACAATACTGGTGAAACTTGGGAAGGTGCTGCCTTCCAGGCACTGGTTATGTTGGCCTTGTAGAAGCAGGAAGGGAAAGTCAGCGGCTCAGTGTCACAGCTTCTGCAGCAGCACTGTCAGAGGTTGATGCAGAGAGTCATAAGGGCTGTTATTTCAAGTTGCAGAGCTTGCCCTAAATTCCTTGCATGCTATTGAAATGTCTTGGGGTTTAATTGCGAGTGGTGGAACTGAGAGCTTTCTTTTCATCTGGATCTGCTACCTTGTGAATGTAAAAATCCCTACTCATGCCTGCAGGAGGTGTGATAGGGGTTGACAGGGATCTGTTATTCCAGAGGTTTTATTTCAGCTGAAAGATGCCCTTGAGAGCTGCACTTTGACAAAAGCATCTAGTCCAGCCAATATATGGCACTGGGGATGGTAGCAAAGAGTCATCCTTGTGACATGATCCTTGACCTTATCAGACTTGGGTCCAAGTACGTTCAGGCTTCAGGTGTCCTTCTCTGTGTTTGTGGCTTCACCTCTCCAGAACAATTGTTGTGTCTGAACAATTTAAAGTCCAGACATACAGTCATGTGAAAGGAAACTGCTCTGTATCCTTGGGGGATTTTGCTCTGCTTTGCCCCTGGACTGAAGCAATTAGTGCTCTGTAGTGCCAGCCAGGTCCCAGTCTTCCCAGGGTGGTAGCTCCTGGTATTCCTCCCTTCGCTTTTGTCTCTGGCCTCTGGCCTTGGTGCTCCCAGTCCTGTGCTCCTACTGGCACCTTCAGATGGTGTTGTAGGTTTGAGCATTATGTTTGCTGTCAGAGACATGATATGCCATGACCCAGCTCTGGGCAGCCCTTAACTTTTGGAAAACCATTTCCAAAAGTTCATCAGAGGGTGCTGCAAACAGCCCACAGCATCCTGGTATGTGCTGTGCCAATATAGACCCTGCAGACAGTCCTTCAAAGACTGGGAGGCTGCGTGGGGATCCGTGAACTGGAACAAGGCACCTATTACAGATTAGACTGTTCTGTGGTCCATCTATCTGAGCTGGTTAACTTCCTAACTTGTAATGGATACATCTGCTGCGGAGCTATCAGAAATACTGCTGTGCTTCAGGCTGTAAAGCTTGAAAGGTGAGCAAGTCCTTTGCCTGGTGTGTGCTCCCTGCAAGCTATAGTACTTCCCAGGCTGACCTGTAGCAGAGAGGTCTTTCTGCTCTCAACTCTTGGCTTCAGTCCCCTCCCAGATAAGCAAGTGGTCAATTATAACCAGAGATGCATCAAACACAACCCATTTTAGCTGCCAGCACATCTAGGATTTGTGCATAAACACGCTCATATCCACTGCCTGGGCAGAAGAGTAAAAGGTGGGTGCAAAGGGGAATTGGCAGATGAAGAGAAAAGGCATAATGCTTGAAATGGACTTCACTCAGTGTGCTATAATGCATGTTAAAATGCTGCTTTAAAATTAGTAAATCTTAGGAGGAAAGCTCAGAAGAGCTGTACTGGTGGTGAGGTGTACTCAGCTGTGTTTCACTGGGCAAGTGGATGTCCAGTTCATAAATGGTTTGCTTCCTGCCAACCCAGGATGGGTGCAGCTTTGTGGAAAACAGAGTGGGGGCCAGGGCCCTTTGCACAGGGACAAAATCTGAAAAAGGTGAGAACAGTCTAAATCACAATCAGTTTAAAATGACATTCAAATTTGTCACCTTCATTCCTCTCCTAGGAGTCAGCAATTGAGCTCATATTTGCTGCTTTTTTCACCACGGCTAGTGCCAGCACTTCTCTGATCCTCCTGCTACTGAAGCACCCCTCAGTGATTGAAAAAATAAGGCAGGAGCTGATGTCCCATGAACTGTATCAGCAGTGTGAATGCCACCCTGCAGGACCCTGCCCGGACACCCTGACTATGCAGAGCAGGGACAGAGAGAAACCACGTTTCCCCTCCACGGCCAAAGATGTTCAGAAGGATCAGAGCCAGCCCCCGGCCTCAGTGGAGGAAGGTTCCCTCCAGCCCGGTACCCTGCTGGAGCCCACCGTCCCCCGGAGCAACTTCTGCCCTGGCTCCCAGCTCCAGGCACCATCAGGGCAGAGCTGTCACTGCTCCTCGGACATCAGCCTGGAGAAGCTGAGCCGCCTGCGCTACCTGGACTGTGTGATTAAGGAGGTGCTGCGGGTGCTGCCCCCAGTCTCCGGAGGCTACAGGACGGCACTGCAGACTTTTGAGCTCGATGTAAGTGCCTTGCAGTCTGTTAGGGAACTGCTTGCACTTCATGCAAGCACAGCACAGTGGTGGTGCTTGGCAGTGTAGCTCAGGGGGAGGTGGCACCCAGCAACCTCTGTGGGTCCCAGCTCGGCTGGGGAGAAAAGGAGCTACAGAGCAGGTGGGCAGTATGTTGGGGCTGTCCTCAGGCACCCTCTGCTCACCCTCTACTAGCATGGGTATGTAACACTCCTCTCCTCCCCTTTTCTCTCCCCTCCCAGGGCTACCAGATCCCCAAAGGCTGGAGTGTCATGTACAGCATCCGTGACACACATGAGACAGCTGCTGTCTACCAGAGCCCCCCCAGCAGCTTCGACCCAGACCGCTTTGGTGCCACCCGGATGGAGGCTGCAGGCCGGTTCCACTACATCCCCTTCGGTGGTGGGGCACGGAGCTGCATCGGGAAGGAGCTGGCACAGGCCATCCTCAAGCTGCTGGCCATTGAGCTGGTCAGCACAGCCCGCTGGGAGCTGGCCACCCCTGGCTACCCCGCCATGCAGACCGTGCCCATCGTGCACCCCGTTGATGATGGGCTGCAGCTCTACTTCCACCCCTTGTAGCCTGGCCATGGCTGTGGGGCCTGAGCTAGGGGTACGCTGCTCCCCTCAGCCCTGGAGCTGATGCCCCTCCACAGCTACTGGGGCAGGTCTCCACTGCCTCAGGCTGGGTATGGCACTGGATCACTGCAGAGCAAAACCTAAAGGTCTGTTTTTCCCCTCCTAGTGTACAGGCTGGTAGGGAGAGTCCTGCAGAGTCACACTCCTGAGCGCTAGGGTGAACCTCAGCCACAGCCTGGGGGCAAAACCCACCGAAGTTGCTGGCAGGGAGCATATGTCATGGGGCCTCAGCCAGCCCCCACTCCATAAAGGTCTCCAGCTACCAGGGATGTGGAGCAAAACTCAGGCCTACAGCTAAGGCTCCCAGAGCATTTCTATCCCTGGGTTGTCTCCTGCCTCTCCTGTGTTATAGGAGAGGCAGGATGAACATCCTGAACACTGTAGCTTTTTAGATGTAAAAAGAAGAAAGATGGGGGGCTCTGCAGGAAAACACAAGCCAGAGCTGCTCAATTCATGGCATCAGCGTTAGCTAGAATAATAGGGTGTAAAGTGGTTTTTATTGTAAATATTTAATCTCATTCCTGCACTTCCCATTAGAGCTGGCACAAAGAGGATATCTCTCAGTCACCCAGTAGTAGTAGCTGTGTATGTTGTGTTGAGCACTGTGCTGCTGCTTGGGGTCTGCCATGAAGCCCCACTCTGCTGTCCCCACAGGATGTGCTCCCCAGCTACAAGTCCAATCCTAACCGCAGGATCGAACTGAAGCATGGGAGGGGGCTTTGGGGAGCAAACATTTAGAAAATGGACATTTCTGAGTATGTCTGATTTGTGGTAGAAAGTCCCTTGTTCCTGGTGATGCTGTTCACATTGCAGAGGGGACATTTGCAAGGTGACACAGGCTCTGTGGTGGCTGGCCAGCCAGACTGACCTTACCAGCTCTGTCAGCCTAGCTCTGCCAGCAAAAGTGCCAGGACAGCAGCTCCATGGTCCATCCACAGGGTGGAAGCTGGGGCTAAGCATGGGTTCTGAGAGCACCATTCTAGATGGTTTTTGAGTACCTCCACAGAGTGTTTCTCTCCCATGTAAAATGAAGTGAGTCCTGTTGCTTGTGTACTGATAACAGAACTAGAGCCAGGTCCTTGATCCACAACAATAAGTTTATAAGCTTCTTTCAGCTTCCCCTTTGCTCCCCACTGTCATGCATCCTGTGTGGATGCAGTGGGGAAAATAATCTGCCTTGTTCCTCCAGAGCATCCTGTGTCTGGTGGTGTGGTGTGCTCTGTGTGAAGCACCAGCTTGACCTGTGAGGGCCAAAATGTGGCACAGTGTCCCTTTGGAAAGGCCCTGAGAGCTTTTCAGTCTCCTGAAACTGTCATCATCCTGCTTCAGTGCCAGGCTACAAATGACCTCACCCTGGCCAATCCCCCTTGACTGTGCTGGGGCACTGCAGCAGGGTGCGTGCCACCGTTGGCTGTCTGAGGGCTGTGCAGCGACCACTCCGCTACCTGGGGCAGAAATGTGGCTCCCAAATGTAACAGGTCAAATCTGGAGGTTGAACTGCAGGGCTGAGTTAAGTGCTGTTGGCAGGCCGGCCCTGTAGCGAACCAGAGCCTTGCCCCTCCTGACCTTGTCCTGAAAGGTGAATCTTTTGCTTATCAGAGGTGAAATCAGTAGATGGTGGGTGCAAGTGGCAATGACTAACTTTAATTAGCAGGAGCTGTTGGCTGACTGAGACCGCGGGCGATTCGGGGTCCCACCGCAGGCAGGGCTGCGGGCAGGGCTGAGCCTGGTGCAGAAGGGTCGGGGCTTCTCCAGCAGCGCACTTAAAAATTACCCCGAGCGCTAACGAGCCCTGTAGCCACCCGCTGAAAAATGTAACATGAATCTAGTTAAAAAAAAAAAAAGACTTGAAACTGATTTTGTTTGCAGATAAACACGAGCATTTACAAATGAAGTGTAATAATTGTTACTTGTAATCAAAGTTTGTTCATATTAGGCTGTTAATTTCTTGACCCCCTTCCAAGATGTTTTTAATTATCCCTTTCACTCTTTACCATTTGATTCTTTTCAAGCCGGTGGCTGGGGAATACACAGCTGGGGAGATAATAAAGCCTTCCTGTGGCAATTATCGGTGCTCAGGCCACCGTATCTCGTTATTTTGATAGACAGTGAACTTGGCGCGCTTGCCGGCCGGGTTCACGCAGATGTCACGGTCCGTGTTGTAGGTCACAAGCAGGTCAGCGCCCGGCAAGGAGAGAGCGCCGGGTCAGGGCGCGGCCGCCGCTCTCGGACGGGCTCCGCGGAGCCGCCCGGGACCGCGGCGTACCCCGAGGGGCTGCTGCCTCCGGGGCCGGGGGACTACCCTCCGGGGGTGTCCCTCTTGGGTAACAGGGTGCGGAGGCGGGCAGCCTCGCTCCCGCAAGGCATCGTAGGAGGAGGGAGGATCCCGTGTGATGCGTTCATTGCTAGAAAAATAATAATTAAAAGTGACATCTCCCTCTCCCATACACAGACGCACACACAAAACTTCCAGCGTTTATTGGGCTTGTCTGGGAGCAATAAAGCAAAAGTAACAGAGAGGGAAGGGGTAAAAACTGTAAAAAAAAAAAAAAAAAAAAAAGCGAGCGCGGTAGTGTGATTGCAAGCAAGCCGTGCCGGCGGAGAGCTCCGCGGCCCCGTAGCCCGCGCTCCGCGACGGGCGCCCCTTCCCCCAGCTGCTCCTGCCGCGGACGCACGCGGTACGGCGGCCGCCCCGGCCCCAGCAGCAAGCCCTGCCCAGCCGCCGGGCGCCCCGGTACGCCCGCGCTCCTCCGCTCGGGGTCCCGCTTGCCGCCGGAGCGCAGCCCCCCGGTGCCTGCCTGCGGGCACCGGGAGCGAGCCCCTCTTGCGGCGCGCCTGCCAGGCGGAGTGCCCGCCGGTGCTGAGCGCCTCTGTTCGACGCGGCAGGCCCGACGGGAAATGCCAGGCAAGGCCTAGGCGAGGTGAGGCCAGTGGATTCCCGGGAGAGGAAAGCTGGGCACGCGTTTTGGTGTTTTCCCTTCCGCCCTCACCTCCCTTTCCCTCGTGACCCGCGCTTGAACTGCATCGAGAGACGGGACTGTTGCCGGCAGCTCCTTCTCCGCGCGGCAGAAAGTACAAAGCCGGGCCCTTTCGAGGTGAAACCAAGGGGCAGCGGAGGGCCTCCTCCGCCGAATGCGGCGGCAACTGCTGCTCGGCTCATGCCGGGGGTGCCGCTCCAAGCTGCCCTAGCACCGGGGACCCCTCCGTCCGGCGTCCGGCCGCTACTCGCCGTTCCGGGCCGGCGACAGCGGCGAGCGAGCGAAGGAGCTCCGGCAGCTCGCAGAGGCCCGCGGCACGCGGCCGGCCAGCGCGCCTTGGTAAGGTGTCCCTGCGGAGTGCAGCCGGAGCCGCCAGGGTGCCTGGCGCGGGGCATTTCTCCGGGCGGCGCGTGCTGTCTGTGGAGAGCAATCCGGCGATAAATCCGAGGAGCAAGGAGGAGGAGGTTGGCCGCCGGCCCAAGTTTATCAGCGGCGTCCGCAGCCTATCCTCGCCGAGCGAACTGTGGCCAGGGGCAGCGAAGCCCGAAAGGCCTCTGCCGCCGCTCCCGGCGGCACCTTTCCTTCCCTGGCAGCGATCTGCGGCGGGCAGGATGCACTACGCAAAGCAAATAGTTAAAGATTTCGGGGGGAGGAGCCAGGCCGCAATCCGCAATTAAAGATGAACTTTGGGTGAACTAATTTATCGGACCAAGGTAGGGTGGGCAGCAACCTGGGAAGGGTATAAAAGGCGGCCCGCGGCGAGCCCGACCCGCGCACTCGGAGCTCCCAGGGGGCCAGGCGGGACTCGCTCCCCAGTCATGGGCTTCTCTGTCCTGGTCGCCAGCGCCCTGTGCACCTTCCTGCTGCCCCTGCTACTGTTTCTAGCCGCCGTCAAGCTCTGGGACTTGTACTGCGTGAGCAGCCGCGACCCCAGCTGCCCGCTCCCACTGCCCCCGGGCACCATGGGGCTCCCCTTCTTCGGGGAGACGCTGCAGCTGGTGCTGCAGGTAAGGCGAGGCGATGCCGCGGGGAGCGGAGAGGCTCCCCGGCTGCTGCTCTGGCTGCAGGGGAGGGAGATGAGCAACAACTTTGCCAAGCTCCCGTGCCCAGGTGGGAAAGAGCTGCTCTCCCTGCCTCTTCCTCTCCTCCCTTTTAAAATTTATTTTATCATTCTCCCCTCTCCTCCCCTGTCCAGAGGCGGAAATTCCTACAGATGAAGCGCAGGAAATACGGGTTCATCTACAAGACTCACCTCTTCGGGCGGCCCACGGTGCGGGTGATGGGCGCCGAGAACGTGCGGCACATCCTGCTGGGCGAGCACCGGCTCGTCTCTGTGCAGTGGCCCGCCTCGGTGCGCACCATCCTGGGCTCGGGCTGCCCCTCTCCAACCCTCCACAACGGGCAGCACAAGCACCGCAAAAAGGTACGGCCCGACAGCGGGCGGGGAGCGGGCGCGGTCGCCCCGGACGCGGCGGCTGAGCCTCTGTCCCGTTCCTCCTCGTCCTCTCGGGCAGGTGATCATGCGAGCCTTCTCCCGGGACGCCCTGCAGCACTACGTGCCCGTCATCCAGGAGGAGGTGAGCGCCTGCCTGGCGCGATGGCTGGGCGCCGCCGGGCCCTGCCTGCTGGTGTACCCCGAGGTGAAGCGCCTCATGTTTCGTATTGCCATGAGGATCCTGCTGGGCTTCCAGCCCCGCCAGGCCAGCCCCGACGGCGAGCAGCAGCTTGTGGAGGCCTTCGAGGAGATGATCCGCAATCTGTTCTCCCTCCCCATCGATGTGCCGTTCAGTGGGCTCTACCGGGTAAGGCTCGAGGTGGGCCAGGAGGAGAGAGGTACCCCTGCAGCCGGGGCAGTGGGGAACGGGTGGGAGGGATGGCAGTACAGCCCAAGTCCCACATTGCTCTCCCTGCTGCTTGGTCAGGGCTTGCGGGCACGCAACATCATCCACGCCAAGATCGAGGAGAACATCCGTGCCAAGATGGCCCGTAAGGAGCCCGAGGGCGGCTATAAGGATGCGCTGCAGCTGCTGATGGAATACACACAGGGCAATGGGGAACAGCTAAACATGCAGGTAAGGTTCCCCAGGGCCAGATCCATCCCTTTCCCCCAGCCCCCTTGTCAGCATCACACTTATCTTTTGGATAAAAAGGTAGGAGCAGGAGGTGCTCCCTTTCCCCATAAAATAAACCAGCTTGTGTTGAGCACTGGGGTGCAGAGGTTGCAAGCAGGCTGTTGGATGGGGAGCATAAGCACCTCTGATCACCTCCATCCTGGCCCCTGGGTGTCTGCTCCATTCTGGGAAGAAATGCTCAGCATTGCAGTGGAAGAATGGGCTTGGTAGAGATACTGTGTTTAGTGTCTGGTTTATCCCTCTTCTTTCCTTTGTGTAAGGAGCTGAAGGAGTCTGCCACAGAGCTGCTGTTTGGGGGCCATGAAACCACTGCTAGTGCTGCCACATCACTGATTGCCTTCCTAGGGCTCCACCACGAAGTCCTGCAGAAAGTGAGGAAAGAACTGCAGGTGCAGGTGTGTATCTTCCCCAGAGCCATTTCAAGGAGGGGGCAGTGGGACGTACCTCCAGGACAGGTGTCCCAGACAGGGCTCCCTTTAACCCAGGTGGTACCCTACTTTTAGGGGTGGCAGGATAATACAACTCACTGAGGGGGGCAGCTCCTTTGCAGTCCAGGAGTCCTGGCCGCCCGCTCCGTGAATGTCATGGCAGCATCTTCCTTTCTAGGGGTTACTGTGCAGTTCCAACCAAGAGAAGCAGCTGGACATGGAGGTCTTGGAGCAGCTGAAGTACACGGGCTGTGTCATCAAAGAGACCCTCAGGCTGAGCCCGCCTGTTCCTGGAGGATTTCGAATTGCACTCAAGACCCTTGAGCTAAATGTAAGCAAGGCTTGGGCACAACTCCTCAGAGCAGCT